GGGACTCTCAGTGGGSCTGGTCCTACTGAGTCCCTGAGGAAAGCGGGTTTTCTGGGGAGTATGTAATGAGTGTGCAGCCACCTTCCTCCAGCTGAGCACTCTGCAGCATCAGGTGCTGTGAGCAAGTGGCTGGGACGTGTGTCCAAGGGAAGGCTTGGAGCGAGGGCCCKGGCACTGAGAGATCAAAACATATGCTGCRTTGGAAGGGACCCACAAGGATCATCAAGTCCACCTCCTGGCCCAGCAATCCCACCAAGTGCCTGAGAGTGTTGTCCAAACGCTCCTTGAGCTCTGGTTCAGGCTTGGTGCCATGGCCACTGCCCTGGGGAGCCGGWTCCAATGCCCRRCCAGCCTCTGGGTGAAGAACCTTTTTCTAATATCCACYCTAAATCTCCCCAGACACAGATGTTGTAGGGGAGGTGTTTTTTGGACAGGCCTGTGCCTTCTGCCCCATGTGCCCTCCATCCCTGCCAGCCTGCTCTTAGTTTGCTACCACTGTCATGCCCWGTAATGTCTCCATGCTCATCACCACTTATCAGCAGAGGGATTTCCTGTGCCAGAATTTAAAATATCCCCTTCTTGAGTYTGGGCTCTCCTCCTGTCCCTCTCCTGCAGCACATCACTGGCTGTTTCCTGGGCAAGTGGGCTGGCAGCAGGCAGCAGCCCTCACCTTTCTCCCTGAGCAGCACCTGCTYGTGAGCTCCATGGTTCCCATTCCTGCAGGGCCAGGACACAGTGCAGCACCTCCACAGATCCCATGCCAGATGGTAGGCATGGTGGGAAGCTGCCTTCTGCCACTCCTTGTAGGTGGTGGGAGTCAGAGGGATGACTGTCCCCTGAAGAGGACTCTGAGTGAGGTGGCGGCAGTGACGTGCCCTGGGGTGAGTTAGCAAAGTCCCTGTGTCCCAACACTCTGCCCTTGGGTCTGTGAATACCTCCTCATGGTCATGGGGTGTAGAAGGCAGCTGGGGGAGGTGTCTGGTGGGAGGTGGAGAAAAGCTTTGGTGGCAGAGGCGAGTGCTGAGGTGCACAGCTCATCAAGAAYCCGATCTCCTGTGGTGGGGAGGCCTGTGGCCATGGAGAGTGACACAACCCAGCTCCYTGGGAGCAAGCACCCTGCTGTGAAAAGCTGTGTGTGAGCTTGGTCAAAGGTGTGGTAAGGTGAGGAGATTGCCCACAAACTGTGACCATGCTGGGGCTGTTAGGGGGAAGCCGGGAGGCTTGGCACCATGTTCCATGAAGGAGTCCAGCCATGACCTGGGCACCAAACCCTGGCAGTCCTGCTGCAGCTGCAGGCTGTGGGCAGGTGTGGGAGGCTGYGTGCCGGCAGAGCTGCCAGACCAGGCAGGCAGAGATGCTCCCCCTTCYTGCGCAGAGGCCGTGGTGAGGCATGACATGAGCACAGCGTCAGCCGGGCTTATCTCTGCTTTCCCAGAGCAGCCGGGTTACTGGAACTGCATTCACTTATCAGGGAACAGGGGATCTTGTTGGGAAGATGGGCTCAAGGTGCAACAGCATCAAGCCCCTGYTGACGCTGAGGTCCTGGCAATCCCTGAGCCTGGAGCTTGCGGCTCCCTCTCCCTCCGGCCCYGCAGCTCCTGCTCAGCCCTGATAAACCTTGAGAGATCCTGGGCCAAGTATTTCYCTCCTGCCCTGCTGTGTGCAGCCCAGGGACCCCAGCAGCTCTCCTTAAAATGGGCTGAGGTCCTCCCCACGCCTGCTGCTGCTGGAGATGAAGGGCTGGAGGCAGCCGGCTTGGACGAGCTGGGCCGGAGTGACTGCATTCCTGGCCAAGCCTCGTGCTTGGCCTGCTCTCCTGAAGCCGTGGGAAGGCAGTAGCTTGGCGACCCAGTGTCTGCCTTCACCACAGGGATTCGTGAAATCCATCTCRTGTTGTGGAGTAACCTGTGAAGGCCAGGACAGGGGAGTGGGAGGTGAGAGGCTCCGCTATGGACACGAAATCACTGGGGGGATGCACGGTGTGGGCTCCCTCAGYTGTGGGCACCAGCCCTGCTGCTGCTTCCACAGGCCTCAGCCAGGGAATGGAGCCCAGTGGGTTCCCACTGCAATGATTTCTATCACACTCAGATGCTAATTTTAGAGAGCCAAGAGCACGTGATGCATCCCCTGCTCTGCCCGCGTGGTGTTCTCCTCACAAATCCTTTCTGGCATCCTCTTCTCTCATGACTGTGCTTCCCCCCTTACCCTCTGTGCATGATTCARAGAGGGAAGCACAAGGCATMTGTCATCTGCCCGGTCCCCACCACCACTTTCCTGCCAGCCTTTCTCCCCTATCCCTCTGCGCTCCACTCCCACCCCTCTGCTCACCACTGTCTTCTTCCCACAGGAGCGCTTTGTGGACCTCTATGGGAACGATGCTGCTGCCGAGGTGAGAAAAGGCCAGGAGACCTTCAACAAATGGCTCCTGACAGGGGCGACGGTGGCCGGAGTGCTTCTGCTGGGATCCCTGCTGAGCCGCAAGTGAGCCGCCACCGAGCCCCCCGTAGCCAGGACGGCTGCGCCTTCACCGCCACATCCACTACACTCCGCTCCCGAGCACCATCACCGGCGCAGGGGGGCAGCCCCTCCATCCCGGCCGAGCACCCTGCTCCATGGAGTTTCCTCCCTTGTGCCGCCAGCTCCTTTTATTGTAGCTCGTCTTATTTACTGTTCCGTTGTGTTTTAAAGGCGCTGAGGCCAATGCAGCACTTCAGCCACCAGCCCCCAGCACTGGGGAGATCCAGGCAGCTGGGTGGGGCACAGGCTAGAAGGTTCCCAGCCCTGCAGAGTCCTCCAAATAATTTGGAAGAGAATAAACAGACTTATTTTTGCATGTGTGAGTGCGTGCGTGTGTGTAGATGTGTCACTAATATAAAGTTCCCCAGCCAGAGCAAGGGTCAGGCTCCGTGCCCCCGTCTCTGGCATGCTCAGGCACTGGGAAGAGGCAGGCTGTCCAGTGGGATGGAGCTTCCCTGCAGCATCACTGTCCCGTCCTTGCTTCTCCAGTCAGAGCTTGTCCGTGTGGCAGGGGGAGCAAGAGGAAAAGGCAGAGGCCAGAGGTGAGGAGCTCTGCCCTTGGTCAGCCTCCCCAAATTCCCTTCTCCCCAGACATCAGCTGCTGGGAGCTGCGGCCTGTCCCAGATGAGGACGGTGTGCCAGGCCCAGAGCTGTGCCTGGTTTGAAGGGTTCTTTGTCCTCTTCCTCCTCCTCAGTCCGAATGTAGATGGCTGTGGGACAGTGCTCATCCCTCTCCAGACCGGCAAAGAAAAGAGGCAGGAGAGGGGAAGAGTGCTTCTCCCTGGCRTAAGAGGCTTTGCAGAGAGCTGGGGCTGTGGTGTCCAGGAATCCAGAGCTGCAGATTGGAAGGGTCAGGGGAAGCACCTTCACAGGGTGGCAAAGCCCAGGGCRCAGCCAATTCAGGGGAGCAGTAGGGAAGCAAGCCATGGGGAGATGGGAGTGGGGGCTGGTGTGTGCTGAGAGCCATCTCTGGGGAACCGCTTTGGGGACAATAGGAGCTGTTGGCCTCTCCGGTGCTGTCCCACATGTTCCCAGTCCCATAGCGCAGGCAGATCCCTGTCCCCATGTGTGGCTGTGATGGGTGCATGCCGTGACTTGAGGTGTCTGGCTTCCCTCCCCCTCATCCCCACGCTGCTCCTGCTGCTGCCGGAGCAGGGAACCTCCGGCCTTTGATCTGAAATTAGCTTCCAGAATAACCCCCCTCATCCTTCGGAGCCCACCGCGGGCAAACACAGCTGTCCACAGCTTGTCCGTGTACATACGGCCCGCGCTCTGCTGTACATATACGAGTAGTTTTTAATTCATTTGTGAATACTATTAATGCTATTTTTGTTATCTTGTCTGTCCGTATTTATGTGTGGGGCCGTGCTCCCTGCAGAGGCCAAGCTGGGATGGAGGTGGGGGGAGAACCGGAGGCTCCAGGGGGGCTCACTTGGCCACTGAGCACGGACTCGCGCTCCCCATGTCGGACCCGCTCAGATCCCGCACGGGGAGCACGAGGATTAGCATTAGCCCATTGAAAGCTTCGGTTTGCAGGTGGAGGTGAATCCACAAATAAATTTGTCATTCGAACTGCTGGTGGTGCTGTGGTCTTTGCAATCGTCAGGAATTTGAGCAACTTTGGGCCCAAAGGAGTTGCCTTCAGCGGGACGGATGGATGGGTGGATGGGGATGGGATCCTCTCCCTGCCCAGGGAAGGGTTGGGGTGCTGCAAGGGCAGTTTGCTGCGTTCCTGAGGAATGGTGGGGTGGCACTAAGGGGTGATGAGGGCAGGAGAGCCCAGGGAGGCTCTTAGCAGGGCTGGGGGTGATGGTTTTGGGGACATGGGCTCAGCACCGATAGTCACTTTGAGAGGAGGGCAGGGGATTCACAGCCTCACTGGGACCCACAGCCCCCACTTTCCGGGGGCTACCCCCTCAAAAGAGCACCTTCCCTTTGTGCGGGGCTCATTCCAGTACGGTTTGGACCACACAAACACTCGAGCATTTTTGGGATGTCACAAGCATGGGGAACACCGAACTCCCCACATCCCTCCCGCGGCAGGGTGCGCCCAGCTCCGCCTTCCCCAGAGCCCCCTCCCCTGTCCTTTCCGGGGTCCCCAGGAGCGTGGGGGGCAGCGGGCGGGCCCTGGCGGGCTCCATGGCTGGCGGGACACGGTGGAGCCCGTGGACACGAGCACCATCCCGTGGGCAGCGGGAGCAGCTGCGCGGAGCTGCGGCCTCAGCGGCTGCGGGGAGCGGCAGCGGGGGGACCCCCATGGCTAATGCAGCCGCGAGGATTGGGGGAAATCTCAGCCCCCCAGGGCCACCAGTCCTGTCCCCAGCCACCCAGAGCCCCCCACAGGGGATAGATCCCATCCCGGCACAGCCAGAGTCTCTCGCAGCCGGGGAAACAGTGATGCCCCTTTGTGGAACCGGGAATGGGATCCTGCCGGGGAAATGCGACTGAGTGGGCTCCCCGAGACACCCCACAGCACACAGAGCTGACCCACGCTCCCCCTTTAATCCCTGCCGAGGATSGGGGGGTCTGTGGGTCCTGCGGGGGAGGCTCTGCCACCCTCGAGGTCACGATGGCATCGGGATGGCAATGGGGGCACGGCTGGCAGAGGRGCTGGAGGGTTCCCACGAGGCCGGTGGTCTCATGGCTCGTACTGCAGATCCGTGGCAATGAACACGAAGCCCTGTAGGGAGTCAAGGTGAGAGGGGGGACGTGGAGGACATGGGGGACACCGGGGTAAGGGGACAGTGGTGGCACCCACCTGCTGCAGCGAGAGCYGGGGTTTGATCAGGCTGAGGCCATGTGGGAGCGGCAGGGGGATGCCAGTCCGGAGCCACTCTGTGGGGAGACAAAGTCATAGGATGGGGTGGCCCTGGTGGAGCCATGGGGGGACAGAGAGGGGACAGAGTGGGGACAGCACTCACTGTTTGCCCGGGGCACCCCAAAAAGCCACAGCCCAAACTTCAGCACGGTCTCCAGACGCTTCACCTGTGGGACAGGCAGGCTCTGAGCCTGGCATGGAGCAAGCAGAGTGGCCCATGGTGCAGGCAGGGCTCAGCTCCCTGCCAGACTTGCCATGCAAGGGGCCCACAGCACCCCAGCTTCCCCCAGACCCTGCTCCCGAGGCGATGTGCACTCCAAGGCTCCCCTTGGCTTTCCCAGCACAACCACTCACCTCCACTGGGCCCACATTTGACGCCACCTCTCTCACGCTGAGCCTGGAGAACAAGATCAGGGTCAGAGCCAGGCACAGGGATGGGAACTGTCCCAGGGTAGGGACGGGCCTCAGCATGGTGGGAGCAGCAGAGCGGGTCCAGCTGAGGACCTACTGCCAGGACAGCTGGCACAGATGAGAGCTGGGGGCAGGATAGGGTCTGAGCAGGCAATGCAGGACTCAGGAAGGCAAATGGACAGAGGAAGAGAATGCAAGAGCTCTCCAGGTATGCCCCAGGGGAGCTCAGACCCAGCTCAGGGTCGGGCACTAACCCTGTCAGTCTCACAGTGCCCCCGAGCCTGTTCCTGGCGATGGTCGGCTTCCCTGTCACATTGGCATCCTGCAGCAAGAAGAAATGTTGGAGAGACCAGGGCAGTGCCTGCAACCCAGCATCACCCAGCTGGCCTCAGTACCACCCAGTATCCCTGAGCATCACCCAACTGGTCCCAATACCCCCCAGTATCCCCCAGCATGGCCCCAACCAAGCAACAGGCACGCCAGCCCCAGCCAAGTCCTTTGGAGTCCCCCAGCTTCCCAAGCCATGGCAACAGCAGCCACTCACGATGTTCAGCAGAAAGACGGGGACACGGGTGGCATTGGGCAGCACCACGAAGGCCTCGGCAGAGCCAAAGAGGGTCCCGTGCAGGGCATCAGGATGGCAGGAGAGCAGGGGCTGCTGGCGGGCCCAGAGATGCAGCTCCATGGGCTGGTCTGGATAGCGCTCCTGCAGCTGGGAGGGACAGGGCAGGGATGGCACGGAGCACACTGGCACTGCCACCACCATGGGCACCAGCTGGGGCCCTCAGCTGGTCCCCTTCATTGCCTTGGTCCCAAATGCCCATCACTGCCCTGCCCATGTCCTGTCCTGCCTGTGTCCCATTCCATCTGCATCCCATACTGCCCGCAACACATCCCATTTCCACCTCACCCCATTCCCTGTCCTCTCCCTCCTGCATCCCATTTGACCTCTGTGCCATCCCATGCCCCATCCCACCTGCCACCTTYCCCTCCTTCATCCCATCCYATGTCCCATCCCACCTCCATCCTGTCCCACTCCATGTCCTATCTGCATCCCCTTCTCCTGTGTCCCGTTTCACTCACCTTGGGGGAGAAGATCTCCATGCTYCTGGTCCTCAGCTGGAGTGGGAACTGCCGTGGCAGCTGGAAGGCAGGGAGGGATCAGGGGCTGGGGCTGAGCAGAGCTGGGCAGGGGGACACCCCAGCAGGACCCCAGCAGGGACAGCCCTGCCCTCCAGCCATCCCTACCATGTCACTGGAGATGTTCCTGCGCAGGGCCCCGGCCGTGAAGTACGTGAAAGCAGCCGAGTTGGCGAGGAACTCGGTGATGGCAAACAGCAGCATGGACTCGTGTGCCATGGGAGGTGTCCTGGGCAGTGGCGTGGGCAAAGCCACGGGCAGTGCCAAAGGCAGAGCCACAGGCAGAGCCACGGGCAGCGCTGAGGGTCTCTGCTGGTACGTGCTCACCCTGAAGATCTCTCCCTGCACAGACACACGGATGGACRTGAGGATCAGCCGGACTCCCCCGATCCCAAATCCGGCCCAGGGATGCCCAGGATATCATTACCTTGAGGGCAATGTCCCCATAGTCCTCTGTGAAGGCCGGTGGTCCCAGCAGGGAGAGGTCAATGGCAGCGAAGGTGTCCAGCTGGGTGGTCACTGCAGGGACAYGGGGGTGGTCAGGAGGAGTCAGACCATCAGCCCCCTCCCACAGTCCGGCCCCATCAGGATCCAACCCCACAGTGGTGTCCTGCAGACCCCGCTGAGCTCCCCAGGACCACCCTGCCCATCCCCAGTCCTGGGGTCCCCTCACCCACCTTTCATGCGCTTCAGGACAGCATCCATCCTGTCAATGCCCCTGTGGAGCGCGAGGCACAGCTGGAACAGAGCAGGGTGTCAGCAAACCCAGGGACAGGGGCTGCAGGCCTCTCACTGGGCTGGAGGGGAGCAGGGACAATGACACCACAGGACACAGAGGCTGAGCACCCACCTGCTTGTTCAGCTGCTGCCGCAGGATTCTCTGGAGCAGCGGTGCCAGCAGGTTGTAGAGCCAGCTGTGGGACAGAGTGGGGTGCTCAGATCACCTGATGGCATCCACCCGGCCTCCCCAACCCTGCCACCCTGGCTGGGGCACCAGGAGCCCYTGCATGCCAGGGACGGGATGGAGCRGGGGTCTTGGCWTCACCTGTATCCACGGTGAAACTCCATGTTCAGGTTGGTGCTGTGGGTGTCACAGCCGGCGTCCCAAACCGTGGGGCGGCCGTCACCATCCTCGCTCACCCCCAGCACCGCCGCCATCGCCAGGTCCCGCACACGGAGCTCCACAGAGCCGCTGTCCTTGCTGGGGACAGAGTGGGTGAGTACAGGGACAGCAGTGACACCGAGCCACCCCGAGCCCCTGTCCCTGTCCCCACGAGGACTCACATGGCACCCAGTTGGGCTGCCCAGTCGGCGCTGAGCTGGATTCGGGCACGCTGCACTGTCAGCCTCACCCCCACGTCCTCGGCAAAGTCCAGAGTGGATTCGTTCATCTGCAGCTCATGGATGTGAATCCTGCACGACACAGGCAAGTTGTGCTCGTGCTCGTGGCTGGGGGAGGGATGGAGCAGGGACAGGGATGGGAGTAGGACAGGGATGGGAGTAGGACAGGGATGGGAGCAGGGACAGGGATGGGAGCAGGGACAGGGATGGAGCAGGGCCAGGGATGGAAGCAGGGACAGGGATGGAGCAGGGACAGGAATGGGAGCAGGGACAGGAATGGAGCAGGGACAGGGATGGAAGCAGGGACAGGGATGGAGCAGAGACAGGGACCCCGCAGGCAGCTCTTACCGTGGCACAGCATAGGTGAGGGTCCCCAGGAGTGGGGTGTCGTAGGAACCYGTCAGGTTCAGCTCATGCTCCTTCTGTAACATCGACTGGAGCAGCTCCAGCCCAAAGTGCCGGCCTGGGGCAAAGTGGGAATTTGGGGTGACACCAAGGAAGGGGCTGGGGTACCTGGGGTGTCAGGGGAGTGCAGCCAGGCCCAGGATAGTCCCTCCATCCCCCATTCCTGGCAGGAGTGGCATCATTCCTGGGGGTGCCCAGTGGTCCCCTTCATCCCCCTCCTCACCAATATGAGCATCGTCCCCCACTGATCCCCCCCAACTCCTGCCTAGTAAGGACCCCAGACTCACCGAACTCCAGTGTCCTCTGGGTCAGCCAGGCCTTGATGCCAGGGTTGGTGCCGGGACTGGTGGTGGTGGCAGAGTCACAGACAGGCAGCAGGAACAGGAGGAAGAGCCACATGATGCCTTGAGCCTGGTGCCAGGACCTGGAGGCTGGAGCAGAGGACACGTCTGGGGAACACGCAGCTGGAGCAGAGACCCCTTCCCTGTGCACCAGCATGGCCAGGGCTTATATCGGGGACAGGGTGACATCAGCACACACGGGGACACCACAGTGCTCCGGCCACCAAAAGCCCAGCCTTGCCCAACTCATGACTCAAAGGGGAAGCCGTGTCCCCCGTTGTTCCTCACTGGTGTCCACCGTGGGAGCGAAGGCAGGCAGGGTCCCACGCCACCCGCTGCCAGTCCTCGCCCTGGGGGTGTGTGGGAGCCGGGGGCACCGGCCAGAGCTCCCCATGAGGGCACAGGACCAGCGTGTGGGAACACAGAGAGCSGGCTGAGCCAGGGTCACCAGGGGCTTTGGCTGTGCCCTGCCTGGGGACAATGGCAGAGTGGGGGGACACGGGGACAGTCCTGGGGCAGGGACTGGCTGCACCAGGGCAAACAGGGCTCGAGCCATTTGCACCAGGGAGCAGCAGCTGTTCCCACTTTGGGAAGGGCTCTGGGAACCCTCTGTGGGGCTACCCAAGTTTCAACAGGGAGCAGGGTGTCTGGGGTGTGGTGGCAGCCCCCAGGGAAGTGACGGAACGGCTGGGACAGTCAGAGTAAGAGCAGAACTCTGCAATCCCCTCCAAAAAACCCAGCTACGGACAAGGAGCTGCCTGAACTCCCAAACCCGCCACTGGTGGGATCATCCCCTAGCCAGGGTGAGCCCCTCCAGCTGGACAGCACCATGGACTTGAATGAGAGGGGTCCAGCTGCTCTCCTGGATCCAGCCTGGCAGACCCAGAAGAACCTTTAGGAAGGCCAGTGCCTCATCTGAGCACCACAGGGGCACTTAGAGCCCATGGGCAACCTCACCAGGGGGACCACAGCCCCATATAATGTACCTTATAGAGCCCTTGAGAGCATCTGCCCACTGCCCTGGGACCCCCAGTGTCACCAAGCGTGGCTGCAGTGGTGGCCACAGCCCCCAGCAGTGACCGACGGGCCAGCACTGACCCTGACCCCCAGCCCAACACCCACCACAGCCCCTCTATCCCAGGGTACCTCCGCCCTCCACCAGCACTCACCGTGACCAGCGTGCACGGTGCCCCACACCATGGGGGCCACAGGTCCTGCCATGGGTCCCAACTCCTCCGTGTCCCGGGGACTGTACGTGGCAGTGAAGAGCAGGGACCAGCTCTGACGCCAATGTCCATCTCGGGTCCTGGTCAGACCACAACGTCACCCATTTCCCCCGTCCCTAATCCCTTCCGGGATGAATCAGGTCCCATGAAAACACCGAGGGACCGGTTGGGGCGCAGGTGCCCGCGGGCTGGGCGCTCCCTGGGGCTCCTCGGTGCATCCTGGTGCTGCCGCATCCGGCGTCCCGACACGTGTCAGGCTGCTCAGCCCTGCCAGCC